GCAATCAGTAGATCTACTTGAACCTCAGACAAGATCTGCTCCTCGGTTCTGCTGACACTTTGTAAAGGTTTATTCTTTAGGGATGCAATGAAAAGAAAAAGCAAGACATGAAATAAAAAGAAGATGATGAGTGTTAAGTTGACTCTGGACAATGGACTGACAGTGAAGACCTCTGCACCTCCTTTTTTTTTTCATGGCTGCTGCAAAACTTGTCCAGCAAACTTTCCTAGATCGCCCCTGTTGACACACACACACTGAACACTGGAGACTTCACAAGCTGCTCCTCGTCTCCTGCTCACTCTTTCCAGGGATCCCCCCCACCAACCCCAATATCCCGAGCTCCCCCCCAAACCAGCGGCTGTGCACACAAAGCCGGGGCGCCTCATACACACCTTACAGAACAAGTCGATGTCGTAGAAGGCGGATAAAAGTGTTGCAGACATTTCCAGCTCCAGTTTGCAGAGTGTCCAGAGGACCGAAAAGATCCTGCGTTCCTAAAAGGCTTTGGAATAGCCACGACTAAAGGCTCCGAGGGAGGAGGAGGGTGAGGGGGTGACAGGTCCGAATTGACTGGGAGGTTGGGGTGGAAATAAGTGCAACGAGCTGACTCCCCAGCCCGCGTGCAAGCAGAACTATATAAATGCTAGTAGGGCGCGCGGTGGGAGGGATAGAACGCTGACCCAGCCGGGGTCTCTTGGCAACGCCTTCTTCGCTCGCCGTGACGTCAGGCGGGACGCTTCCTATTGGTCGCCGCCAATTTGCTCGGGTAGAAGCTCGCGGAGTTTGCTCTGGGGAGCCGCAGTCGGAGCGGAGAGGGGAGCATGTAGGTTGCTGATGGTGTTGTGTTTCTCCGATCCCTGCTCTCTGCTAGTCCTGTTAGGGGAACCTAAACCTCTGTGTGGCGTTGCGGTGGACTTGGAGGGCTCGGTGCTCTTTTATCTGTCACTATGGCGGGGTGGCTTCCCAGCTGCTGTGGGACTACAAGTCCCAGCCGGCCTGCTCCTCCGACAGCTGGTGAGTCACAGACTCTGAAATCCTGACCTGGCTGTGGCTGCTGAGTTGCCGTTGCAATAGAGGCACAAGAATGGGACAGCTATGCTGCTTTACTGTCTAGTTCCCTTGAAGTTGTGACACTACAAATCCCATCATGCCAAACGTTTATTTTTACATCTATGGATGCCTGTGTTGCAGTGTGGATGTAATCTATGACTTGTGCATGGTGGGATTTAACCCTGCTGTGGTACTACAAGTCCCAGCAAGCTGAGCTCTTTTCTGAATGACATGGCAGTTGTGGAACTACTAGTCTTAAGCATGCAGATCTGTGCTGGATTGCTGTAATAGTTACAGAACTATGTGGCTGCTACTGTACCAAGTAACTACAACTCCTATCATGCAATTACAAATCTTATGTGGCTGCTACTGTACCAAGCAATTACAACTCCTATCCTGCAACTATAAATCTATGTGGCTGCTACTGTAGCAAATAACTACAACTCCCATTATGCAATTGCAAATCTATGTGGCTGCTAATGTACCAAGTAACTACAATTCCCATCCTGCAAATCACTTCTGTCAATGGCACTTTTGCTATGACTTGTTCCCATTCATGTGCATGGTATGCTCCCTCCAGTTATAGTACTACAAGTCCCAGCAAGCTGAGCACTCTGTCAAATGACCAGTTATCATGGCAGTTGTGGAACTACAAGTCCAAGCATGCAAAACACATTTCACTCTGTAAATGGTTCTCAGTAGGGAAGGCACTCCTGATCTGTTCATACGCATTGTGTTGCTACGATGCACAGAAGCTGACACTTGGCTTCTCATGGACTCCATAGCAGTTGTGGAACTACAAGTCAAAGCATGCAGGTTTTGCATGTTCAGCTAGAGGCAGATTTATATTTGGTTACTATTGCAGCAAGCAACCTCCGTTCCCATTGTGCAAACCGCTTCTAAATCAATGCCTATTCCAGTATGTGTGTATGCTGCTTGTGATCCCCCAGTTGTAGTACTACAGGTCCCAGCAAGCTAAGCGCTCCTTGTCAGCTACATGAGCTGTTTTCAGGACTCTGTAGCAGATGTGGAAGTTGAACCACAAGTCAGCATGCTGAACATTTGTACCACGGATGTCACATGTACATTGTACTGATCCCTACTCCTAGTGCTGCAGAAGGGGAGGACTTGTTTGTATGGCTCCATAGCAGTCCTAGGACTGAGCTCAGTATGAAGCTGACTGGTTCCTAATGTAGCAAGCTGGAATTCATGTGGCACTACAAATCCCATCATCCACATCACTGTAAGATGAAGTTTCACCATTGCATTATGGATGCAAGCCCCAAATGATCCGTATCCCTGCCAGTCCCAGCAAGCCGTATCCCTGCCAGTCCCAGCAAGCCGTATCCCTGCCAGTCCCAGCAAGCCGTATCCCTGCCAGTCCCAGCAAGCCGTATCCCTGCCAGTCCCAGCAAGCCGTATCCCTGCCAGTCCCAGCAAGCCGTATCCCTGCCAGTCCCAGCAAGCCGTATCCCTGCCAGTCCCAGCAAGCCGTATCCCTGCCAGTCCCAGCAAGCCGTATCCCTGCCAGTCCCAGCAAGCCGTATCCCTGCCAGTCCCAGCAAGCCGTATCCCTGCCAGTCCCAGCAAGCCGTATCCCTGCCAGTCCCAGCAAGCCGTATCCCTGCCAGTCCCAGCAAGCCGTATCCCTGCCAGTCCCAGCAAGCCGTATCCCTGCCAGTCCCAGCAAGCCGTATCCCTGCCAGTCCCAGCAAGCCGTATCCCTGCCAGTCCCAGCAAGCCGTATCCCTGCCAGTCCCAGCAAGCCGTATCCCTGCCAGTCCCAGCAAGCCGTATCCCTGCCAGTCCCAGCAAGCCGTATCCCTGCCAGTCCCAGCAAGCCGTATCCCTGCCAGTCCCAGCAAGCCGTATCCCTGCCAGTCCCAGCAAGCCGTATCCCTGCCAGTCCCAGCAAGCCGTATCCCTGCCAGTCCCAGCAAGCCGTATCCCTGCCAGTCCCAGCAAGCCGTATCCCTGCCAGTCCCAGCAAGCCATATCCCTGCCAGTCCCAGCAAGCCATATCCCTGCCAGTCCCAGCAAGCCATATCCCTGCCAGTCCCAGCAAGTCGTATCACTGCCAGTCCCAGCAAGTCGTATCACTTACAAGTCCCAGCAAGCAAAAAAAAAACTTGTTTCTATGACTTTGTAGTAGAACTACAAGTTGAAGAAGGCAGCTTTTAGCATGCTCAGTGACTGCTGAATCTATAATAAAGCAATATGATTAGTGTGCCATACATGCTGTCATTTCTTTGGTGTGGAACTACAAGTCACAGCCAGCAATGCCCCCCTGACTGTGTGTAAATGAGCACTTCCTAAGCACTAAGCTTCAGATCCGAACTTGTGCAAATATTTCCTTCTGCTTAATTATGTCCTTTTTTTTAATCAGGGATATAAGTATTAATGAAAAAAAGGTTGTGGAACTACAAGTGCAAGCTTGCCACATACCCTCCCTGTCATTGTCTACTAAACAGCTGATGTACTGTGAGTGTTGCTTTCAGCGTCTTCATTGGCTGACCATCTGTATGTCTTCCAAACCACAAAATCAACTTCTTATTTTCAAACCAATTATGAAAATAGCGCCAGACGTTTACGCAAATCAGTCGTCTGTTAATGGCGTGCGCGATCCCTGCGCAGGGGGACGATCTGCGGCCTTTCTTTTATCACCCTTTAACATTTTTAAACACTATCACATGACCGGGGTTGAGATCATGCTTTTAGCATGCAGGGTGGGCAGTCACATGGCTTTGTTCATACATGCTGTGGCTGCGGCCGGTCCAGTGGCCCTCTCGTAGATCACTGGGGACTGGGCCCCTGACAGCAGGGTGTCTGAATGAATCAAGGCGCAGAGGGGAAACCCAAGCAGCCCCCTCCCCTTCTCTCTCACATTTCCTTGTTGATTTCCTTCCACCCTCCTCCCCCGTCTGCCTTGCAAATGGCTGCTGGAAACTTTTCTCTCTCTCCTTGTTTTCTGCAATCTGACCCTCTACATTCGGCCATGACAGCTCAGCCCAGTGGAGTGTCCCCACCCATGACGGGTGGATGATTCTCCTCCACCTGGACTTATTGACGGATGCAAAGTTAAATATTTTTAGATAAAGGGCAAATCTAACAAAAAAAGTGAAGTGTAGGGCCGCTACCCCCAGCCGCCCCTAGATATGGGAAGAAAGGGGGAGACCGCCGCTCACCTCTGGTAAACATGGTGGCTATGCTAGCTTAGGGCTCCCGTGTCAGAGGACAAGAAGTTGACTTGTTAATCGCATCACAAGACCTTGAACGTCTGCCAAGTGCCTGGGAACCAGTCAGCGCGGCCGCACTGTGATAAAACCAGGGCGAGAAAGACCTTCCAGTCTGTGAGGCCCGAGTATACAGGTTACAGCTAGGCCCTGAAGCCTTGTCTCTGCTTTCAGAAGTTTGCTGCCAGGCTCTCCTGAAGACAACAATGCGGAGCACGTCTCAGTTCTGTGATTTCATAAAGCATGATGCCACATGTTGTCACCATACATTTTACTAATAAAGTTGGTGAGATTCCGGGGATGTTTTGTGTCAGATGATGCCAAGGAGTAGAAAACTTGAGGCCCCTTTCACACGGGGTGATCAGGATTAGATTAGCATTGGGTATCTGATCAGGTCCACCTCTCAGTTTTTCAGACGGACCACCTGTGTGGAAGTGAAATTCTATAGGGGGGGGGGGTTATCAAAACTGGGGCAGTTG